GACCAGAAGTCGGGTTTAGACAATTAACCCAAATAAAGATAGAGACAGATAGATATAATAATAGAGCTTATATATATATAGTAGCTAGGGTAATAATAAAATATAGAGTAAGTACATTTATACTAAGCTTTTAAATAGTTGTGATTAGATTTGTGTTGGTAAAATTACCTAAAATTTTCAAAATCAATTGTTAAGTAATTACATATTATGTCCAGCATTTTTGTTCATGGTTGATTGATTGATACTAAACGTGGTATATTTTTCCCAAAAACATCCTACTGTCAATTTAATATTGGTAAACAAAGTATTCACGGATAGAGCCTGCACAGGTCCCATTTGTCATGTTGATGCTTTCGTTATTTTGCCTGAAGTATCTCTACCCTTATTCAGTGATTATAATTTAGAAAGTAACATGCCATTGTTGAAGGTGTTGTGGACTGGAGGGCGACGGTGACGCACAAAACTCGAAACCTGGAAGCCTTCCGAGACTTTGTGATGCAGTCTACGCAGGGGCAGGATTACATTTTGTAATGGCAGACGGGTGAGTACTCTATTTAAGAAACTATGCACCTCATTTGTTAAGTTAGCCAGCTTTAATATATCTGAGGTATAGCACCCATTTTGCAAGGAATGTTTTATGACAATATGATAGGGTTCACTCACACACAGGTTTTGCACTTTGATTTTTCAGGGTTTTTCAAGTGGAAGGTCAAGAAAACCTACAAGAGGTTTGTCGAAGCAACTCTATCTCTGCCAGTTCTGCTGTGCATTATCTGTTTTAAGAATAGGTATGGTTGGCATAGGAAGGGCAATAAGTATTAGTAGTAATGATTTGAAAATGCATTGTGTATACAAGGAGACATCAGTAATAATTTTTCGGCATTATCTAGTATGCATAAACAATACAAACGTAAGCTTCAAGAAACATACTATTTAAGTATTGAAACTTTATTTATGATTAGGTAACATTGACTCGGCTGAACAGAGCAGCTGAGCATGTAGAATGAGACAAATGACTGTCCATGTGTCTATGTGTCCATGTGCTGCATAAGTTAGTGCATATCTCAGAAATGGTGGCACAACTCTAGATGGCATCACTCACTACATACACCATACACATTTGATGCAGAGGATAGCAGCCACAAATAAATATTTCGAAACTTAGTTGTTTTATGACAAATGTGAATACATGATTACAGAAATTTTGTAGGTATATATTATTATTTATGCACTTATCATAATATACCCTAAATTGCTAAAGTGTAGTATCTCTAACCAACGAGATCCAAGATTTATTTATCATATTGTAATGGCGTGTTTTTTGCTTGAATTGATTGCTGCTTACACTACAAGCAACTAATTTTCAAGTGGCTGTTATTGGTTGTGCAGGATCACACCACTAAGTGGCGTGTATTCAACTTTACAGGCTAATGCATTTGATAACTGATATCGATAAACGTAATATATATATATGTTACCGACATGCCTTTATTTTGGTTTATGTGATGAAAATGGTATTCGATTTTAGGTTGGAAATTTGTGTGCAAGTTTATTTGACATATATCACTCCATTCAGCGTGGCGATGGTCTATCCTCTCTACAGGTCATTTCGCCGCGTGTGCATATACATAAGCCCATCACAAGTCGACCTGCTAACTCAGAACGGTGAGTCTCTGTAAAAATACAACAACCTGAGAGTAGTAGCTGTAGAAATTGCATCGTATTTGTTATGTTTAGAAAAATGTGTTTGCAGAAAAAACACGTCTCTCTCTGCTCTGTGTCTCCGTCCCTCCTCTCTCTCTCTCTCTCTCTCTCTCTTTACACTCTCTGCGTGTCTCCGTCTCTCTCTCTCTCTCTCTCTCTCTCTCTCTCTCTCCTTCTTCTCTCTTCTCTCTCTCTCTCTCTCTCTCTCTCTCTCTCTTCTCTTCGTCTTCTCTCTCTCTCTCTGTCTCTCTCTCTTCTCTCGCTCTGTTCTCTCTCTCTCATCTCTCGTCTCTCTCTCTCTCTCTCTCTCTTCTCTCTCTCTCCTCTCTCTCTCGCTCTCTCTCTCTCTCTCCTCTCTCTTCTCGTCTCCTCTCCTCTCTCTCTCTCTCTCTCGTCTCCCCACTCCTCTCTCTCTCTCTCATCTCTCTTCTCTCGCCCCTTCTGTCTCTCTCTCTCTCTCTGCCGCCCTTCTCTGTCTCTCTCTCTCTCGTCTCTCTCTCTCTCTCTCTCTGCCCACCTCTCTGTCTCTCTCTCTTCGCGTCTCTCCTATCACTCGGGTGCTCCTCGTTCCTGCTCCTCCTCTCCCAGTCTCTCGGTACTCTTGTGTTCTGTGCTGTGTCTCTCTTCTCTCTCGTTTTGCTCTCTTTTCTTTGCTCTATCTCTCTCTGAGTGTCTCTTCTTCGTCTCTCTCCCTCGCTCTCTCTCTCTACTTATCTTCTCCGCGGCTGTCTCTGCGTCTCTTTCTCTCTCGTGTGCTCCTCCCGTTTTCTTCTTCTTCCTCTTCTTCGTGTCTCGCCCCTTCTCGTGTCGTCGTCTCTTCCTACTCACTGGCTCTCTTCCTCGTCGTCTCATCGATCTCTATGTGACACTCCTACTCATTTCTCCGTCTCCGGCTCCTCTCGTCACTCCTGCCGCCTCTCGGTCGGTCTCGTCTCTCCCGTCCGGTCACCGTCGTTTTTTCTTCTCGTTGTCTGCTGTGTTTCTTCCCTTCCTCTCCATTCCGCTGTGTGTTCTCACTTGCAAATCGTTTATCTTCAATCTACGGCCTTGCACATGGTGGCTGGTGACGTCAGCATGTTTAGGGGTAGGATGATGTGGGAGCTCCGGCTATACAGTGATTATTTGTTCCAATTTTTTGACAGTTTTAAGAAGCAGGTTTAAATTCAGGACTAATTCTGTTATCCTGATAAGGATCATCAATGTTACCCAAAATTCTTGCAAATTTGTTTGTAATGAGGATTTTTCCAGATTGTGATTTTATAAGTCGTGAACTGTTGTATTTTTCCATGTTATACCAATTTTATTCAACGATGTGCTCGTGTTCGTAGGCTAAGCTAATGCGTAAAAGGAGTGAGCTATTTATATCAGCTGTTTTATCCCAGCCACATTTCCGCTATTGGCATGTTGCTATGGGGTTGTCGTAAGGGCTTGTATCCTAGAAAGGTAGAATAAAATAGCTTTCTTCTCATCTTCTTTACATTGTGACATTCTGCTGCAGCCTTACAGCGGCCCTGACATACCTAGTGACCGAACCCTTGAACTGGAGTTGCCAAAATCGAGCATCACGTTAATTTTAATGGTAGACCAGAATGTGGCAAAAACATTGGTACATGGTAAAATCTCAAAACAGATCAAAGCGGTGAAATAGAAGAACAAGTACGAACTTATATTAATTACCATAACCTCTTTTTCAAGAACACACCAGTTTAAAAAAAAATAAACGTTCAAAAACAACGGGTTTCTTTTCAAGAACGCTAGAGAAGAGAAGTGAAACATATCAGGTTGTCTGCCCAATTATAGAACACTATATGTGACCCGCTCCAGCAAAACCAGGATTAAGTAGGAAATTATACAAATTGAGTTATATGCATATCTGAATAGATCATTTCATTACCTTTAAAATGATATATAATATTTGGCTATATCTAAAGAATTGACCGATCTACGGCAATTTGAAGATCGGAAACCGACATTCCAGAATATGCAGCTTTTGAGATAAAGCGTTCCGAGTAAGGGGCCCAGTCGGGGGATAAGCGGTCAGGGGCCCTCATGCACTTTTTTTTTATTTTGTATTAAAAATGACCATAATAATATAGAGATATCTGAACCTATATATCTGGATTAAATATGCACTTAGGAACTTATTTTTGTAAAAATCTCATTTTTGTCCAGGTAGGGCATTTTCAGCATTGTCATGTGTTCGAGCTCATTACTCAAAACAATGACTTGCGACTTAGTCCGTATTATGCTGGAGCGGGTCACATATGTATATCATGATGGACTGTCCACGAGTCTAAAAAAAACAAGTGCCGCAGAGCGACAGTGCTCAACTGATGTGTACTGTAGCTGGGTATTCTTCTGATAAACTCATTGGCAACCGAATCAAGTGCGCCACTTTTTTTTCAATAAAGTGATAAAAATGGTAGGTCAGCGCTGAAACAAAAAAGTTTTGCACTCAGTTCGTTAGACCATGTCCTCAGAAAATGTCTGATATCTGACCTTCCCCCACTTCCCTTTGACCTGTGACCTCCAATTTTGCGCTGGTGATGGGTTTCCTCCCCATCACAATATACACCAAATATTAAGAGCGTAGGTCGAGTCGTTGAGATTTGTGCCGCAATTCCGTATTTCCTCCTATACCTTGAGGTTAAGGGGGAAATATTCCCCCTCCATTGACACCTATTGACCTTTGACCCTTGACCCCCAAATTTGTCATCCCGAGTCCTTTTCACGATCCTCCCGATGTCCCGAATATCGTGACCGTACGTCGAGCGGTTAAGATTTGTGCCATAACTGTTGACGGACGCACGGACGCACGGACGCACGGATAGACATTCATGCGATTCTACAAGCTGCATCTGACTTCGTCAGCTGAGCTAACAAGTAATAAACTTGTACTAAATTACAGGGTCGGGGACAAAGGCGAATCATGGCTGTTCATATAGTAGATGCCATCATGCTAGCAGGAGTCAGGATAAGTGGCCTGCCCTTCAGTGAAAGGTTGGTGTATTAATGAGTACATCTGTTTTTGTATTTGCCGCGTGTCCTACTGCTACTGCTGCTGGGATGCACTTGGTCGTGATTGGTCGAGACTGGTGCATGCGCCGTAACCCCGCAAGCCCGTATCACTTGGGGCGCGTTTGTTTGGTCGGATCCACGGATCTCGATCCAATGGATTTGTTGATCTGACTGTTTGTTTGGTCGGATCCACGGATGTCGGTCCACCGAACCCGACCCTGCTAGCGAGGTGGATTCGAACGGGATCCAATATGGCATCACCACGGGAGCCAATCACAGCTTGTTCTTTGTTATGAACCATCCCGTGATAGGTCACAGCGAAACTTGAACCGTTGAAAGTGAGTTTGCGTTTGTTTGATCAAGGGTTTGATCCAGTGGATCGAGATCCGTGGATCCGACCAAACAAACATGCCTTTAGTCGATATTACTGGTGCATGCGCCCGCATACACACCTACCGCGTGCGTACCAGTCCTACAGCATGTTTATCGATTGTACGGCATCGTGGCTCCATTAAAACATCCTACTGTCAATTTAATATTGGTAAACAAAGTATTCACGGATAGAGCCTGCACAGGTCCACATTCGCCAATGTTGATCTTCGTTATTTTGCCTGAAGTATCTCTACCCTTATTCAGTGATTATAATTTAGAAAGTAACATGCCATTGTTGAAGGTGTTGGTGGACTGGAGGGCGATGGTGACGTCACAAAACTCGAAAACCTGGAAGCCTTCCGAGACTTTGTGATGCAGTCTACGCAGGGGGCAGGATTACATTTTGTAATGGCAGACGGGGTGAGTACTCTATTTAAGAAACTAATGCACCTCACTTGGTTAAGTTAGCCAGCTTTAATATATCTGAGGTATAGCACCCCATTTTGCAAGGAATGTTTTATGACCAATATGAGTAGGGTTCACTCACACACAGGTTTTGCACTTTGATTTTTCAGGGTTTTTCAGTGGAAGGTCAAGAAAACCTACAAGAGGTTTTGTCGAAGCAACTCTATCTCTGCCAGTTCTGCTGTGCATTATCTGTTTTAAGAATAGGTATGGTTGGCATAGGGAAGGGCAATAAGTATTAGTAGTAATGATTTGAAAATGCATTGTGTATACAAGGAGACATCAGTAATAATTTTTTGGCATTTATCTAGTATGCATAAACACATACAAACGTAAGCTTCAAGAAACATACTATTTAAGTATTGAAACTTTATTTATGATGTGGTAACATTGACTCGGCTGAACAGAGCAGCTGAGCATGTAGAATGAGACAAATGACTGTCCATGTGTCTATGTGTCCATGTGTGCATAAGTTAGTGCATATCTCAGAAATGGTGGCACAACTCTAGATGGCATCACTCACTACATACACCATACACATTTGATGCAGAGGATAGCAGCCACAAATAAATATTTCGAAACTTAGTTGTTTTATGACAAATGTGAATACATGATTACAGAAATTTGTAGGTATATATTATTATTTATGCACTTATCATAATATACCCTAAAATTCTAAAGTGTAGTATCTCTAACCAACGAGATCCAAGATTTATTTATCATATTGTAATGGCGTGTTTTTTGCTTGAATTGATTGCTGCTTACACTACAAGCAACTAATTTTCAAGACGCTGTTATTGGTTGCTGCAGGATCACACCACTAAGTGCGTGTATTCAACTTTACCAGGCTAATGCATTTGATAACTGATATCGATAAACGTATATATATATATGTTACCGACATGCCTTTATCTTTCGTTTATGTGATGAAAATGGTATTCGATTTTAGGTGGAAACTTTGTGTGCAAGTTATTTGACATATTCACTCCATTCAGCGTGGGATTGGTCTACCTCCTCTACAGGTCATTTCGCCGCGTGTGCATACATAAGCCCATCACAAGTCGACCTGCTAACTCAGAACGGTGAGTCTCTGTACAAAATACAACAACCTGAGGAGTAGTAGCTGTAGAAATTGCATGTATTTGTATATGTTTAGAAAAATGTGTTTGCAGAAAAAACACGTCTCTCTCTCTCTGTGTCTCTCCCTCCTCTCTCTCTCTCTCTCTCTCTCTCTTTCACTCTCTGCGTGTCTCCGTCTCTCTCTCTCTCTCTCTCTCT